TATATTTCCAAATTAGGAATTCTTAATCACAATAGTTAAAAACTGTTATATATAGTTTTGAATATTTTTTTCGATTGTTTATTTTTTATTTTTGCTTTGTATTCAATTATTATTGAAAATAAATGTTAGAATTTATTTAAAAAAAAAAAAAAAAATTTTTTCTTTTTATATTTGACAACATTATTAATGACAAGATTTGATGGCTATATTATTTACGGATTAATGGGGGCTTGGCGATAAGAATATTCTGTCTTCTTCTTGCCCTCGCCATGTATATATTTTACAAATACGAGAGTTGTAATTATTTTAAACGGCATTTTTATAATAATTAAAAAAAAACAAGCTGTAGAAAGTTTTTTTTTTTTTTTTAAATTTTTAAAATTTTTTTTTTTAACTTGATAGTATTTTTTATGTTACTAATAAGCATGGAATAGAATTTAACTTTAAAACCTATATTTTTATTGCATAATTTAATAAAATCAAGTATTATCTTTCAAATGAGGTAATTCAACACTGGTTCCAATTGACGAGGTATTTAACGTACCGTAACACGGTACGTTAAATACCCCGTCAATTAAAATACAATTACTTTACTTTAGCCAGCGGGGTTACTTTAGCCATTTTTAAAAACTTTAATTAAACATCTTTAATTTTTAAACAGTAAGTAACGTTTTACTATTTTAAATTGTAAAACGTCACTTAACTGTTTAAAAGTTACAGATTTAATTTAAATCTGTCTCTTTTTGTTTAATTAAAGTTTTAATAACGGAATTTTTTAGTTAAAATTTCACTTATACAATCGAATATTGGAGATGGGGGCGCATTGATCGCCGGGGCAGTATGATCTTTTAGCTTTTAATCGTTTATTTTGCAAACAGAGATTGCAATTTAATTAACCATTATACTACCCTTCATTGTTTAACCGTAATATTTTTTGATAAAATCAACTTTAGCGTTAAGAAAATTGAAAATACAGTTTTTCATCATGAAAAGTGATTTTTGAAAGTAAACAAATTCAAATAAATTTTTTATCAGAATTCCGTATGACTTTACAACCTGTTTATTGTAAACTCATATGTGTTAAGTTTATAATAAATTTGTTTTTTTGAGTTGGTTACAGTATTTAAAAGTTATTGGCATCAATATATCAACTCTACCTAATAGGGCACATTGATTGTGGACTATGCGGGGCTCATTGATCGGAGGTGCCCCATATAACTTATATTATAAGACTTATATTTTTTGTTTAAGTTTTATACATTTAAACAAAAGGCATGTATGACGAATTAAAAATCTGTATAAAAATTTTTAAAATTTAATTTTTAAAATGTAATAGTGTTAAAAACTAATATTATTAATATTAGTTTTTAGTTTTACATAAGTTTTTTCACTAACTGTGATTGGAAAACTAATTTTGAAAATCGAAACGTAAACGAACGCTATGATGCCTTCCTAAAATATTACAATATTGCGTGTGATAAATACGTCAATATCAAATATGTAAAAACGAATTATAAGTCATGCAACTGGATATCTCTGCCACTGAAAATAGAAATGAAGTCAAAAAACAAACTTTGGTTCAAATGTTTGGCCTGTGGCTTTTCCAATGCAAAACTGGTAGAAGAATACGAACAGAGTAAAATAACATACAAAAGGTTACTCAAAAAAACAGTAAAAGAGTATGAATTAAAGTTAGCCAATAATGCTAAACATAACCCAAAGCTTTTGTATCCATGGGTAAAGCAGAAGAAAAAAATCAAGTCGAGCATAAATTCCTTAAAAGATAAAAGCGATTGTACGATCACAGATCCAAAAGACATAGCAAATACTTTAAATGACCATTTTCAAGGTGTATTCACAAAAAACGATGTTACCAAAGTACCAAAATTCGAAAAGCGTACAAACAATATATGTGGCACACCGTTATTTGATTTTAATTTGGTTTACAATATATTAGTGAAGTTGGATCCAAATAAATCTGTTGGCCCAGACGGAGTAAGTCCATTTGTATTAAAAAATTGTGCTTTTGTTCTAGCAACTTTAAGTTATATATTCGTTTTCAATGCAATCAGGTATTTGTCCAGATGATTGGAAATCTGAACACATAACACCTTTATATAAAAAAGGTAGCAAAATAATTACAAGCAATTATCGTCCAATTTCTTTGACGTTAGTTGTTAGTAAAGTTATGGAAAAAATTATCAAAGACAGTATGGTCCAACACTTAGTACAAAATCACCTTATTTCAACTAATCAACTTGGTTTTGTGCACAACAAATCATGCACAACTAATTTAATTGAAACAATGGACTTTATTACCTAGGAAATGCGGTTGATGTAGTATTCATGGATTTTGCAAAAGCTTTAGTTACCCTAAAATTATATGGTCAAATGGTTTTATTGAAGGCATTAGAACAAATAAAAATGAACGCGACAAAGAGTTTGCTCGTACTGTAAATAAGTCTTAATTGTATCACACGTTAGTGGTGCAACGTTAAGGATAATAAAACACATATAAGTGCTCTAGACATTACCCAATAAATCTAAAAGCATATTTGATTTAAGGCATTTACAAAATCCCTTCAGTTTTTAAAACTATTGCTCCTTGTATTTGACTGATATGTTGCAAAAATAGATTTATTTTTATTCTATATTACTTATTTTTTTAAAGAATTTGTCCATTTGAATTAATTTGCCTCTCTTGCGTCTTTTTTTCAAGTGTGCTTAAAACAAAATCCATAGTTATATAGAATGTCTTCGTTCGGTGTTCCCTTATCTTTGGAACACCAAACAAAGACATCTGTATTACTATGGAAATTTACCATCGACAATGAATGGACTAAAAGCGAAAATAAAATATCAAATAAATATTTTTACGATCATTATTGAAACTATTCTGAAATAAGTAGAAGGATTTAAGGAATGAATTGGACAATGCATTTTAAGAATTTAAATGCAGACAAAATGTATAATAAATTTTTATTAATTTACTAAAATATTATAGAATCTTTTATACCATAACAAACTGGAACTCATATAAACTATATTCATGTTCATAGATCTCCTTAATCTCATGTTCATAGATCTCCTTAATCCAGGCTAAATGCAAAAGTAAAATACAAAATAAAGTGCAAAGACTTAAAGAGTAAAATGCTATAAGTAAAACGCTAATTTAAAGACCTAAAGAGTAAAGTGCTATAAATAAAACGCTAACTTAATGACTTAAATAGTAAAGTGCTATAAGTAAAACGCTAATTTAAAGAATTAAAGAGTAAAGTACTATAAATAAAACGCTAATTTTGAAAAGAATCTTGTAAGTAAGATAGTTTAAATCTGAATCAATGCGTTTTTTATCATCTACAGACTTAAATTTTATCATCTACAGACTTCTTATTTAGTAAAAGAAATATAAACTAGTACAGTTTATTTCTTTTATTTGCTTTTACTAATATTTGTTCTAAATTTATTTTATAAAACGAATTTATAAATTCGAATTTAAGCACTTATATGCGTTTTATTATCTTGATTTCTCAGCCTGATCAGCCTCATTAGAATCCACTTTTTCCTGGTTCCTTAGCCTGATCAGCCCCATTAGAAACCACTTTCTCTTGATTTCTTAGCCTGATCACCCTCATTAGAAATCAGCCTTCTCCTGATTTCTAATTTTAGTTTTAAATTTTTTTCTTCATGACCATTATAGTAAACATTAAGTTATAACTTTCTCCATATAAATAAAAAAATAAAAAATAATAAAAATAAAAATTAATAAAATTTAAAAATTATGAAAATATAAAATGTCTCTACGAAGGAGTACGCAAAAATGAAATTATTTTAAGCCGTTAAGTTGACCTGTAAAATATCTTAAAATATTTATTCATAGTATTATAAATATTTTTTTATTAACAATAATAATAATTATTATTATTATTACTATTATTATTACTATTATTATTATTATTATTGCTATTATTACTATTACTATTATTGTTATTATTATTATTATTATTATTATTATTATTATTATTATTATTATTATTATTATTATTATTATTATTTATTGATACCCATTTTTACACTATTCTCTGTTTTTTTTAAATAAAAAATAGAATTTTAGGTTCCTTGAGATTTATCAGAAATTTTCTAATTAAATTTTTTTTAATGACAATTCCTGTTGTGCTTGATAATTTATTTAATATAAAAATTATATATTATTTTAATTTAATTAATATATTATTGTTTTGTATAATATTTTATTTTTTATTTTATAAATCTTTATTTAAAATTGAATAGCATTACAAGTAATGAATTGTACAATTTTGTCTGTCCTTTAATGTTAATAGTTTTCTAAGAATGCAGGTTAAGAAACATATTAATTATGCATTGAAAAGGCAGTAGAGCTCCCAATATTGCTTGGTAGGTAAAGGTCACTGACGCCATTACGAAGGATACGGAGATATTTTTGAATAAGAGATTTTTGGTAAGTAGTAGTTTTTGTGGTGTTTAGAGCATACGGGAATCTATTAGGGTTTCTGCTGTTGGTGTGAGTTATTTTAGTGGTTATGGGATGGCATGAGTCTTCAAGGATCTTTTTGAGTATATTCATACAGATCCTGTCTAGTAACTCTTCAATGTCAAAAATAATATTGAAGCTGCTTGAGTTGGTTACATCAATTCCAATAATGTGTATTACATTTTTATGAAAATGTTGGATCTCTCTTTTTGCAGCAGCACTGCAAGAAGTAAAAATAGGAGCACTATATATCAAGTGGGTAATAGCGTAAGATCGGTAGACCTGTAAAAGGTTTGACTGAGTGTGTCCAAGTTGTTTAAGACGTTTGAGTAGATATGGCACTGATTTTATATTGCTGTGAACATTTTTCCACTGTTCATCCCAATTAATATTCTCATTGAGCATGATTCCAAGGTATTTGTGGCTGCTGACTATTTCAAATTCAGTATTATTGAGTACAGGGGATGGTAAAGCTTGAATTTTGGAGCACCTAGGTTGTTATGATTTTACATTTAGGACCATTAAGTTTCATTCTGTTTACCATAGACCAAAGAGCGAGGCCATCAACAATGGATTGATATAGGTTTGGAGGAACTTTATCATTAATTATATAGGTCAGTATGTCATCAGCATTTTTTTCGAGCATGGTTTCAGGTGGAAGATAGACGTTAATGTCGAAAATAAATAGAATGAACAGGATTGGACCTAGAACACTAACCTGAAGTACACCGGCTTCAATACATTTCCATTCAGTGGTGTGATAAGTTGTTTTAATTTTTTGTTGACGGTTAGATAAGTAAGCTGCAATCCAGGAGGTGAGCCAGCTAGGTAGTAAGTATACTAACTTTAGAAGTAGCTTGTCATGACTGACAAGATCAAAAGCTTTTTCGAAATCAAAGAATATTGCATAAATTGATTTGTTGTTATCTTTTGCATGACTCCAGTCATCTATAATTTGAATAATAGCATTCATTGTACTTCAGCCTGGAAGGAATACGAATTGTTTGTTTGAGACCCATGAGTGCTTGGTGTGCTGGACAATGAATTTGGTGATAATACGTTCAAAAACTTTACACAATGTGGATATAATGGCAATTGGAAGATAGTCATTAGACAAGTGTGGGTTAGAAATTTTTGGAATCGGTGTTATGTTTGCTGATTTCCATTGGTCAGGTAGGTAACTGTGTCTATGAGGCGGTTGAATAGAATGCAGAGCAATGGAGCAAATTCAAAGCAAGCAGATTTGAGTAAAAACGGAGATTTGAGTAAAAACGGAGATCTCACCCAACTCAGCAAAATTAAACAGAGACCCTGGTTTGAGTTTACTGAGTTGGGTGAGAATGTTATTATAAGTAAGAATTGGGGTAATAGGCGGGTTTGCCTGTCGGTTGATGAAGCATGAGAGGTTAGGTTGTTTATTACCGATCCAAACACTTTGAAAGTGATCATTTAATTGATTTGTTAGTGTCGCAGAGATAAGGTAGTGATTTGACCTTTATCATATCAAGACTGATTTTATGCCAAAAATCTGTTTTTCTAGAAGTAAAACGCCTGTTATAGATTCTCTTTCTTTTGGTAATTAGTTTACTAATTTGATTTGCAAGCGATTTCCACTTTTTGTAGTTCCCGGAAAAAAAGAGTTTTTGACGCTCTTTTATAAGGCCTTGATTAAGTGGTGTCATCCAAGGCTTAGGGTTAACGATCGCTGTTGATTTTAGAGGTTGGCAGATGTCTTGAGCAGAGAGTATAGAATGATAAAAGATGTTGCAAACAACTTGTATTTCATACGGTGAATCAACTTAGGTCTTAATAATGGTAGATCGTATCAGTGCAACAGTGTCAGCAATTCTACCTGACCGGTAAGCAATCTTGTGGGGAACTGGACGAGTAGATTTATAGAGATTTAGAGGAGGTTGACTAACTACGACAAGGTGATCTGAATTACCAAAACTAGGAAGGGTATACGACACATAGCATTTAGGAGCGTTACTCAAGATGATGTCAAGAATAGATGATTTTCTGGTAGGGTGTACATTAAGATGACTGAGTTGGTGAGAACGACAAATAAAGTCAGTAGAGCAGCCATTTAGATCCCCTGCAAGAAATATTAGTGGTTTTTTGCCCATTGTGCAACGAATTATGGCTGGTTCAATGAGTTGTGCAAGTTGATAAGATGCATTGCGCTGCTCACTTTTAGACCAAACCGGGATATAAGCACATATAACTAGACAGGAAGAGTATCCTCGGGGTAGTAGCTTTGGGTATACACGAGCGATTGTTAGTTCGACTTCTTGTTTATTCTAGTTAGACAAGTAGTCTATAGTAAATTTTATTTTTTCAATTTTATCTGAGTATTTTTTTTTATGAAATATAAATATAAAACAAATTTATAGGTAAAGGTACTAAAAAACGTATGAGAAAGAAAATCTTGATCGTAGAAAAATGTTTAATATTAAATAAAAAAAAAATTAAAAAAAACTGCGTTTTATAGTTAAAATTGATAAAAATACTGATACCTCAATTGATACGCATTGTTGGTTCAGTGGTAGAATTCTCGCCTGCCACGCGGGGGACCGGGGTTCGATTCCCCGACAATGCACGCGTTTTGAAAATCTGTTTTGAAAAACAGTTGTTATGAAACGACATCAACTGAGGACTATTTTAACGAAGATTTCTTTTAATTTTAACAATTAATATGATATAAAATATAAATTAATAATTAAAGGATTTTTCATGAGAATACTTTCATAAACAATTAAATGCACAAATTCATGATGTTTACAAGTAGCTGGTGCGCCTCACAACGTTAAAACAATAAAGGATAAAAGTAATAAAATTAAATTTAAAAAAATAACAAAACCAAAGAGTTATAGGGTAACTTGATGTTTTTTCGTCCATCACTCAATCTCGCTCACTATCTTTGATTGCTATCAAGTCACATCAAGAGAAACACATTCACCGGGTTAAAGTAGCGAACCTGTCTTCATAAAATTTAAACAACCTCAATCAAATCTTAATTGAAGAAGTATCTATCAAAGAAATTATGTTGATTTTGCTAAGTTTTTCGCTACCTAATTTGTCGATTTTAAACTAACTAAAACAACTCAAGTAAATATGTTGATGTGTAATATAACTTATAGTTTTATTTTGTTGTCCATTATTTATTATGTAAGTATAGTGAAGTTCTTTTTTTTGGAATGATAGATTATGCTTAAAATTTGCTTTGCGCCCAACCTACCAAAATTAACTTAATCTAGCTCACAGTAGGAATATATTCTCGCACAATGCGTCCAACCTCGCCCGGTTGGGCTAGAATAGATTAGGCATGTTATATAAAGAAATATTACAGAGATATACCTGAAATTTACTTGGAATCAACCACAAGCTAATTTTTACTGGGTAACTTCCAGATCTTGGACATTATTCCCGTACGTTACCCCCTCCTTTTTGGAATAGGTTTAGGTTACAAGTATTAGCATATGGTATTTACCATACGTTAATTCTTTTTAGCTCTTGTAAACTTTGAACATTTTGTTAAATTAATATGATATTTTGTCCTATAATGTTATTTATCTAGGTCCTGTCTTGAAATATAGCATGGTTAAAACAAGAGACGGAGGATGTAGATTATCTGTATTAGCCCGTAAAAGAAAACTAGATCGTGCTAAAAAGAATAAAACAACAAGGAAAATAAATTCCATTTCAGTATCTTCTCCATCCTAACCATTGGTTGGTAACATAATTTCATTGGTTGGTAACATAATTTCATTGGTTGGTAACATAATTTTATCGGCGATACTATTGATGTCACAAATGTAGAAAAAGTTTTATCAAGCATTATTGAGCCAGAAAAAAAATGAAAACTTCTTTACATTTGATAAAAGTTTTAATGTTTCTTTGGATTCTGAAATAGTTGCTAATCTTCTAAAACAATTACAAAACGACATTGAAGAAGATGGCGCAAATAGTTCTTTGTGATCTGGTAACGCTTCTATTTTAGAAACAGAAATTGCTGTTACAGATAATCAGCCTGTACCTATGGTCAAGGATCTATTTGCAAAAAAAGATGAAGATTTTGATGCGAATAGTTATACCATTTTTACTTAGCCTTATTAAAATAAGATCGTAGACAGAATCATAACACCAAAATTGAATTCTGTTGCAATTCAAGTTATCCGTTTGCAAATTATTCCTAACCCGATAAGTAAATCGTTTCATGAAGTAATCATTAATTTCATAACAACAATGCAACTTTTAGTAAATTAAGAAATTTCGAATATATTTGAATATTTTTACATTCATTGTATGTATGTTTTAAATCAAAATGCTTTACAGTTGATGGAGATAATGTCTTGGCATATTTTGAGGTCACTGCGCATAAAAAGGTAGCGAACAGAGCATATCAACATAAGTTCATTGTTTTAGTTTCTAAAGAAGCATAATCATGCAAAACTGAAATATCATCAGGATAAAATTTAACAGGAAAGAAAAAAGCGTGAAAGAAAACAACATTAACTTACCAATGCTGATAAGCAACTCAATGAAAACTTACTGAAGCTGTATAAGCCGAGAAAAGAAAACTAGATCGCGCTAAAATGATTAAAGCAACAGTAATAAAAAAATTGTATTTCAGTATCCTCTGCACCCTAACCATTGATTGGTACCAAAATTTGATAATATTGATCTTAAAAACGTAGAAAAAACTTCATCGAGAATTATTGAACCAGAAATAAAAAAACTAGCTGACAATTATGAAAATAAAAAAAAATAAAGAAACGAAGAAGTTTTTAAAATAAAAAATCAATAATTGACACAAAAAAAAAATGCAATAAAAGTTTTGAAAGTTTTTGCAAAAAACCTTGTTGGTCATGAGAAGTAATTTTTTGTGAAGATAAAAGAAAAAGAGACTGGTGTTGAATGCTAAAAATGCTACCACAATGCAATGCAACCATTTTATGGATTTTGCATATATTTTATGGATTATGATTTATTAGATATTTTAAAGTAACTTTTACTGAATACTGTATTGGATTATATATATATATATAAATATATATATATATATATATATATATATATATATATATATATATATATATATACATTTTTTTTTTGTCATTTTTTAGGAGGAGCAGATAGTTATTAATAGTGGCGTTGGTTGGGATGGTGTAACCCAGTGCGGTAAATTTAAGGTGTCACCCCTCTAAATCTTCATTAACAGCCGACAGCCGTGTTAATGAAGATTTAGAGGGGTGACACCTTTTTTTTTTTAGAAATTTGAAACACGGGTTTTAAATTTCTAAAAAAAAGAAGAAAATCCTATAGAAAAGTTGGATCATACAAAATACAATCATTAAATCAGTTCTGTCATATTTGCATTTTTTTCTTTTTGGTGTCACCCTTCTGTGTCAGATTGTGATGGTGTCACCGGTGCTGCCCGAAGACAACGCACCGCCTCATGACGGCACTGGCTATTACTTTTCTTTACTCTTTAAAATGTATAGAAATAAAGTTGATTAAATATCTTTATAAATTATTAAAAAAAAAACCTAATGTTAATTGAAAAATGAATAAAATACTTGGAATAATATAAACTTTTTTTACAACAAACAGCTATTTACTTTACATGTAATTGAGTTGTGTTATTAAAGGTGCAATTTAGAGAGAGTGTCAAAAGCGTTTTTACGGTTATTTTTTTAATATAAATTAAAAACTAGATGTGTTAATAATATTATCAGAATATATTTAATAACATTATTTTTAGTTAACTTTTTAGTCTAACTAAAAAGTTAGTAATTTTAGTTAGACTAAAAATGTAGATATTAATCTATGCAATTTTAGTTAGACTAAAAATGCGTAGATTAACGTTGGATTATATTTATCGGTTCGACTTTGATTCAAATACATAGAAATAACGTTATAATATATACAATGGATCAACATTGTGTTTGCATCGAGAAAAGGCAGATTTAT